GTCTGCGTAAAGCGGTGGGTAGTAAGGGATAATTGGGAGATTCCCCCCGGATTTATAAAACATCCGCTCATGTCTCCATCTGTAGCATTTCACTGACAATATGGTTATGATGGATACAATAAAAAGGAAGGAAACTACAGCCAAAGATAAAATTAAATAAAAAGTCAAGTCGTCATTATAATCCCTGTCGTGCGTAAAATCAGTGAATTCCGAGAGTATTTCAGGGAAGCTGTCCGCCACCGCCACGTTAACGTTGACTGATGCTGAACGAGGCGGCTGTCCGTTGTCCTCCACTATAAGAGTTAGTTTTTGCTTCACAGCATCTTTATCACTGACCTGGCGTATAGTTCTGATTTCTCCATTCTGTAAGCCCACTGCAAACAGTGGTCTGTCAGCTGGTTTTAGCAGTTTGTATGAGAGCCAGGCATTCTGTCCGGAGTCCACATCAACAGCCACAACTTTAGTAACCAGATAGCCGACTTCTGCTGAACGTGGCACCATTTCTGCCACCAGAGATCCAGCAGTCTGTACTGGGTAGAGAACCTGAGGCGCGTTGTCGTTCTGGTCTTGAATGATTATGCTAACAGTTGCATTACTGCTCAAAGGTGGGCTACCTGCATCTTGCGCTTTAACGCGTAGTTTAATTAGTTTTATTTGTTCATAATCAAATGGCGTTACAGCGTAAATAACCCCGCTGTCTGCGTTTATTGATATATAGGAGCTCAAAGGTAACCCATTCAGATCGCTCTCTTCGATGTAATACGATACCCGAGCATTAGCACCCCAGTCCGCGTCGTTTGCTTTCACGGAAAAAACAGAAAATGACGGAGGGTTATTTTCCATCAGGTAAGCATTGTATGTTTCTTGCTCAAATTGCGGTGCATGGTCGTTAACATCTGAAATCTTTAAGTGGAGAGTTTGATTACTCGAAAGAGAGGGACTTCCTCCGTCAACAGCAATGACTGTGATGTTATATTCGGATGTCTGCTCTCTGTCTAAGACCGAATCAGTCAGTACACTGTAATAGTTTGTTAAAGATGTTTCAATTTTGAATGGAAGAGCCGTATCAATTGAACATTTCACTCTTCCGTTGTCTCCAGAATCCAGATCTTGCACATTAATCATAGCTATAACGGTACCTGGCACGGAGTCTTCTGGCAGTGTGCTTGAAAACGACATCACTGTCATTTTCGGAGCGTTGTCGTTCACATCAAGCACTTCAATTAGGACATCACTAGAATCCGTCAACCCGCCTTGATCTTTAGCCTGCACCTTAATCTCATGTAACTTTGATTTTTCGAAATCTAACTCTCCAGTTACGATTATGTCGCCGGTTGAGGGATTTATAATGAAGAGTTCGTTAATGTTGCGTGTAGCATGTTCAAAGTAGTACTGTATGTGTCCATTAGATTCGTTATCCGCATCCGTGGCACTCACTGTGATCACTAATGTACCTTTAACTGCATTCTCGGGGACTGATGCCCTATAAACGGATTGTTTAAATACTGGAGCATTATCATTTGCATCCAGAACCGCAATGTTTATTTTAACAGTTCCTGTACGCTTAGGATTCCCCCCATCGACAGCTGTTAACATCAAATTAAGCTGTTCCTGTTTCTCTCGATCTAACGGTGTTTGGAGAATCATCTCTACGCTTTTGCTGCCACCCGGTCTACTGTGCACCTTTAGAGCAAAATGGTCTGTCGGATGGAGAGAATAGCCCTGAAGACTGTTTACGCCAACGTCTAGGTCGCGGGCACTTTCAAGAGAAAAGCGCGCTCCCGGTACCGCCGATTCGCTTATTTCCATTTTTAATTCACTCCTTGGAAATACTGGACTATTATCGTTGATATCTAATATTTCTACCGTAACACGATAAAGCTCAATCGGACTTTCCAGAATAATTTCGAAACTGAAGCTGCATACAGGCGCTTCCCCGCATAGCTGTTCCCTGTCTATTCTCTCCCGCACGACCAGTTGTTCTTCCTCTCTGTCTAGCGCTACGTATTCGCTGCCTCCCGGAGAAAAGAGCCGAGCTCGCCCGGTAACCAACCTCTCAGGCTGCAAACCCAGGTCTTTGCCAATATTTCCCACAAATGATCCAACGGCCATTTCTTCAGGAATCGAGTATCTAATATTCCCAGCTGCTGAGTGAAGCGAAAACACAAAAACGAGCAAAATACACAAAAGCCATTCCAGAATCCGTTCGTTTGCACTCATAGTGATTTCACGTCGAGGAGAAATACTTCAATGCACTGACAGAAATTCAGGTCACAACAATAAAATATGCAAAAATAAATCAACCTTTGATAAGGTAAATAAACTTGAAAGAGCAGGCGCCAGCTCGTGTCCCGTAATTCACGCAATATTGCTTATGGATTGTGACCCAGTGAGCAAGTAGGCGAGGTCTCTGCATTACATCTGAGCGAAGCATTCTTGAGAGAAAGCGACACTCAGGGACCAAATGCAGAATTACACACTCTTAGAAATTCATATGCCAAGTCTGTGTGGAGCTATTGCGGCGACTCTGATTAACCGCATTAATTCATCTTTATTACAATAATTTTATCTCTGGGAAAAACAAATAATTGAATATGAGACTATAAACATTCAGTAGGCTACCATTTGCACTTTAATATTAATTTGGGTAACACTTTACTTGAGGGGGCACAAACAACTTAGCCAGTTACTACTCAAGTACAAATCATGAAGGAATATAGTACCTGCATAGAACACATTAAAAGTCACGACTGATGAAGGAACATGGGATCAGTACGTAAGTAACACTTAGTTTCTGGTTAATTAATACATTGAGTAAACAGTGTAGTACTGCATTATTTGTGCCACCCTCCCCCCAGCGAAGTGAAGTGTTACAGTAATTTGAAAGGAATCAAAAATTTAAATTATACCCACAAGCAATAGATTAAATATTTACATTTATATTCAGAGCGAGTGTAAAGTGAAATAACTGAGAAAAGAGGGGCTCACCTCTTCGAAAATATTTGGGTCATCTTTCATTTCTCTCCTGACTGTCTCCTTTCCGCTTAGGTCAACATGTAGCACGCTCCGACTACAAGGCCTGACATATTTCACGTCACTCATTCTGGAGTCAGTCGATCTGCACGTATCATAATTGTACGCGTGCTGCAGTGTCCCCGTTCCTCCAACGTCTGCATAAAGCGGTGGGTAGTATGGGATAACCGGGAGATTCCCCCCAGATTTATAAAACATCCGCTCACGCCTCCATCTGTAGCATTTTGCTGATATTATGGTAACAATGGAGACAACGAAAAGGAAAGAAACTACAGCCAAAGCCAAGATTAAATAAAAAGTCAGGTTGTCGTTGTATTTTTTGTCATAGGTAAAATCATTGAATTCCGAGAGCACTTCAGGGAAGCTGTCCGCCACCACCACGTTAACACTGACTGATGCTGAACGAGGTGGTTTCCCGTTGTCCTCCACTACGATCGTTAGCTTTTGCCTCACAGAATCTTTATCGCTGATCTGACGTATAGTCCTGATTTCTCCATTCTGTAAGCCGACTTCGAACAGGGGCCTGTCAGCTGCTTTCAGCAGTTTATATGAGAGCCAGGCATTCTGGCCAGAGTCCACATCAACAGCCACAACCTTAGTAACCAGATAGCCGACATCCGCTGAATGAGGAACCAATTCAGTCACCAGAGAGTTACCAGTGTGTACTGGGTAGAGAATTTGCGGTGAGTTGTCATTCTGGTCCAGGATAAAAACTTTTACCGTCACGTTATTGCTCAGCGGAGGTGATCCTCCATCTTGCGCTTTTACGCGAAACTGGAAATCCTTTATCTGCTCGTAATCCAGGGAGCGCACAGAGTGAACCACACCGCTCTCGGAGTTGACAGACACATAAGATGAGACAGGCACTCCGTTTACAGACGAATCTTCCAGTATATAGGAAACACGCGAGTTTTGGTTCCAGTCTGCATCACTGGCTTTCACTGAAAATATGGAGAGCCCTGGTGCGTTGTTCTCAAGTACATAGGTGACATATGAACTTTGTTCAAAAACTGGGACATTGTCGTTCACGTCAGATATCTGTAAGTTTAAAATGACGCTGCTGGAAAGTGAGGGGATTCCTTCATCTGCGCAGATCACGGTAATGTTATATTCAGACTGTGTTTCTCGATCCAAAGACGATCCAGTAACCAAACTGTAAAAATCATTTGAGGTTGATCTGATGCTAAATGGAATGTTTTCATCGATCCTACAATGAACCTTTCCATTACTCTCAGAATCAGGGTCCTGCACTGTCATTATCGCTACCACTGTGTTCTGGGGAGAGTCCTCAGGTACTGACTTTGACTTCGACATCAGATTTATTATAGGACTGTTATCATTTACATCTATAACATCGATTATTACCTTACATAAATCAGACAGACCACCGTGATCTTTTGCTTTAATATCAATCTGATAATGTTTAGCTTTTTCATAGTCCATTTCACCGACTAACCTTACTTCGCCACTGTTTTCGTCTATCTCAAATAAATTAGACATCATATCTATGCTTCTGGAAATAGAATATTTGATTTCACCATTAGAACCTTGGTCTAAGTCAGACGCGCTGACCTTGGTTAAAACGGTACCTCTGGAAACATTCTCTGTTACCGCTGCCTTGTAAATTGGCTGCGAGAACACAGGAGCGTTGTCATTAGCGTCAAGTACATTAATATATATCTGTACAGTGCCAGACATCGGCGGGTCGCCACCATCCATTGCTGTTAAAAGGAGCGTCAGTTTATCCCGTGTTTCCCTGTCCAGCGGTTTTTGTAAAATCATTTCTACATTCTTACTTCCGTCTGTCTGACTGTGTAGTTTTAGAAGAAAATTATCGGTTGGTTCAAGTTTATAGCTTTGCAGACCATTAATGCCAATATCGGGATCAACTGCCTTTTCCAGCAAGAATCTAGCTGCAGTATGGGCTGACTCGCTTATTTCAAACGTCATTTCAGTTTTTAAAAAATCAGGTGCGTTATCGTTTATGTCTATTATCTCTATTGTGACCTGATAGAATTCCATCGGATTATCTAGAACTAACTGAAAATACAAAGCGCAGGGGGATGTTTTTCCACAGAGAGATTCGCGATCTATTCTTTCTTTAATAAGGAGGACCCCATTTTCTCTGTCCAATTCGACGTATTCTGCGCTGCCAGTCGTGTATATACGGGCGTTACCAGAATTAAGTCTTTTTAAATTTAAGCTCAGATCTTGCGCTACATTACCGATGAATGACCCTATAGCCATTTCCTCCGGGATGGAGTAACTAACTTGGCCATATACTGAACTGAGAAAAAGCAGAAAAATAAACCATGCTACTTGCCGTGTCATTGACGAAGCAGACATTGTCGCCACAGCATTCATGAAATATTGCCCAAATACGAACAGTTATTAAAAAAAAATCGAAATTCCAAATTACAGATGAATGAAGAAAGTCCAGTTTTGCGCAACAGTAGAAATTGTATTTTTCCACAAACGCTCCTCCATAAACAAAGATCTATCGCTTTGGACAGCCCTCTCCTCTCTCGCTAGTTCTCTCACACATCGAATTTACTGTGGAGGTCCTGCTGCAAACTGCTAAGAGAACAGCTGCGTCCTAAACAACAGCGTCACACTGAGTTCAAATGCTGCATTGCAAATAATAATTTAAAATTATATATTCACCACTGAAGTCTGTGTAAATCACATATCACCATCGCAAGGAGTAACGAAGAATGGAAGTAAAATATTTTGGCAGTTCATTTTATATATTCCTTGTGCTAGTCACTGATGTTGACGAATAATTTGAAATGTTGTTACACGATAATAACTAAATAATAAAATAAATTGCTGTTGCTTGACTGAAAAAGTGTTTCAGTCAAAACGGTTTAGAAGCTGCAGTAGTGAAAGCTTAACACAGTGACGTTTATGCATATAAAGTGGAGTTTTACTTTATAACGTATATGAAAATGAAAACTCCATTTCAAGGACACCTTGTATTAAAAAGAAAACTAAAATGTAAACCATCAGCTGAAACACTGGGTTACGGGGTGCTCTTTCAAATTTCAGTCAACTCAGGTATATCCGAAAGCGGAAAATGATTGAAAAAACATTTTTAAAAAAACCTAAATCGGCACATTTCATTTAAAAAAACAGATTGTGTTTATTACTTGCTATAATTCCTTTTTATCGTCATTCTACAAGTAGCGAATACAAAGTAGTTTCAGTCTTCCCACATCCCATCTTGCTGTCCTATGAGACATACACAGACATGTAGGCTTAGCCTGTCAGAAAAAAGAGTACCAGTTTATACCTTTCCTTGTCACTGGGGCTGTACCCTCGATTTAGTCTAATTCAAGGTAGAGAAATGGAGGAACACCCCCAAGGTGCAAACAATATTAATGTACCCCCTATGGTACAAAAATGTTGCACAGAGTCCATTTCTGTACCATAAAATGAACAATCACCTACAACTAAGGTACAACTGGCGGACCCTTGAAGGTACAGCAGCAGGGACAAGCAAAGGTACAAATTTGTATTCTTTTTTCTGACTGTACAGGTAAGACGGAAGCTTGAGATCAGAGCGCAAGATCACCCATTTATCTAGCGCCCCTAGAGGAAGCTGGATTAAAGGCTTTTTTCTTGGGGCAAACGGTAATATAATATTGCACAACACACGTATGCAAATGAACATATTGTACAACAGCACATTAGTATGCGCATATAAGCTCACCTGTTTTTCAGAAAACTCATGGCTTTCTACTTCTTGCTGTGAGCGTGGCATTGTCTCTGTTCCACTGGCATCCATGCTAACGATGCTTTGAGTATAAGGTCTGATGTGTTTCATATCACTCTTCCTGGAGTCGGTTGTCCTGCACACCTCGTAATTATACACATGCTGCAGAGTTCCCGTCCCATCGACGTCTGCGTAAAGCGGTGGATAATATGGAATAACTGGAAGATTGGACTCGTAAAATATACGTGACTGTCGCCATTTATAAATTTTCACTGATATTATAACTACCACAGACGACACAAACAGAAAGGAAACGACGGCTAAAGCCAAAATTAAGTAAAAAGTCAGGTTGTCATTGTAATCCTTGTCGCGCGTAAAATCAGGAAATTCCATGAGCGTTTCAGGGAAGCTGTCCGCCACCGCCACGTTAACACTGACTGTAGCTGACCGAGCGGGCTGTCCGTTGTCCTCAACTACAACAGTTAACTTTTGCTTTACAGCATCCTTATCACTGACCTGACGTACAGTTCTGATTTCTCCATTCTGTAAGCCCACTTCGAAAAGCGCCCTCTCTGATGGCTTTAGCAGTTTATATGAGAGCCAGGCATTCTGTCCGGAGTCCACATCAACAGCCACAACTTTAGTAACCAAAT